AAATACTTTTTATACATAAAACCTTAGTAATAGACCATAAAGACTAGATCCATAAAAAGATTGAACTCAATTATTACCATTTTTTATTTATAAGCTCTAAATCAGTAGTGACCATAACGTCAATTGCCAAAAAAATCATTAATCTGAAATATCTATATCTGGGCCTCAGAGCGAAAAAAAAGGAAGGTTACTTTAAACCCTTCGGTCGATCTTGGCAAGACTTTTTGTTCTTGTGCATCTAATTTTGGAAATGCGAAGAGTGTAAGTTTGATTTATTTTGCTTTTTATTTTATCTCGTAACTATAAAACCTGTAGAATAATAAAATTAATAACTTTTTAAATGTATTTATTTTTTTTTTTATGAAAAATAATCTTTTTTTCCATTATTTTATCTAAAAAATATTTTAATATGGTATGTACATACTTGAAAAGGAACAGTAATAAACAACTACATTAAGTGATTAAAATCGGCATAACATAAAGGGTATTATTATCTTGAATACCCTCGAGGGGGTCATGTTCGTATTGTAACGTTTGCATACTTCCACTTGAAGGCGTTTCAATCCCACCGCTTGAAACGCGATTCAATTCTGTATCCATCGAGTCATCTTCTTGTTGAAGCGGATCAACCATTTCGCTTGATTCCGTTTTTGGTTCATCCTTTGAAATGAAAGGATCGGCAGGGTCGGGTACTCTTGATATATTTCTTTTGCGATTATGCGTTAAAAGATGCCTTTTCATATCAGATCTTACACGAAATCGTTTTCCGCACATATCACAACAATGGGGTTTTTCACCTGTATGTATTCTTCGATGATTTTGCAAATAAGATGACGCTCTAAATGTCATACAACAAAATTCGCATTTATAATTCTTTTCGCCCGTGTGAATTCGAGTATGGACTATCAACGAATATTTTCTAGCAAATTCTTTTCCGCAATAATCGCATTGATATTGTTTGTGGTCGGAGTGTATCGAAACGCAATGGTATTTTAAATCACCCCATTGACGGAAATGTTTACCACAATATTCGCAACAATACGGTTTATCACCTAGAATTTTTTATTTTTGTGATTTTGATTAATTTATTTTTATTAATTTACCTGAATGAAGCCTTAAATGAACTTTTAAAGCACTAGCGGCAAAGAAACTTTTTCCACACTCAACGCAAGTATGAGGCCTCACTCCCGTATGCACCCTCATGTGATAAACCAAAGAATTTTTATGCGTAAATATTCTCGGACACATTGTGCATTTAAATTCAACCATTTTTTTCTTCGATTTTCGAC